GATGGATAGATGATGGATGGCTGGATGGATGGATGGATGGATGGATGGATGATGGATGGATGGATGGATGGATGGATGGATGATGAATGGATGGATGGATGAATGGATGATGGATGGATGGATGGATGGATGGATGGATGGATTGATAGATGATTGGATGAATGGATGGATGGATGATGGATGGATGGTTAAAGTTTTCATATATAAATTTTTAGCATAGCTCAATGAGGAAGTAGCTAAAAGCTTAAATTAGCAAGAGTTGCTTAAACCTACACAGAATCAAAGAGAAGCAAACAGCTAAAGACCCCAGAAGCTGAAACATTCACTCATGAAGTTCTTCTCCTGCAGCTGCTCTCACTTAAAAAACGACTTTCTGTCACGATGCAGACGGCGTGACCATCACTCCCAGAGACGCCCGCTGGGTAGGTGCCTGGTGGCTGGGGTTCCTGGTGTCCTCCTCCCTCCTGCTCATCTCCAGCGCTCCCTTCTGGTTCCTGCCACGCTCACTGCCCAAACAGGAGGGTGAGGAAGACAAGTCGGCTCCCCCCCATGCGCCCCCGCATGGGACAGAGGAAACGCTCAGTGGCAGCCACGACCTCAAGCTGACTGAAATAGCCAAAGGTCCATCAGAGACAGACTGAGCAGGTTTGTGAAGTCCGCCTGTGTTTTTACTGCGTGTTTTATCTTCAGGGTTCCTTCCATCGTTGAAGCGTCTGTTGGGAACCCCCGCTTACTTCCTCCTCGTCTGTGGGAGCATCCTAAAGTTCAGCTCCTTTATCGGCCTCTTCACCTTCAAAGCCAAATACATGGAGCAGCAGTTTGGACAGTCGGCATCCAGAGCCAACTTCCTCCTGGGTAAACCAATAGATTGAGCTTTTTTTCGAAATGCTTCCTGTTTTCTTGCAAAGGTGTTGCATTCTCTCGAACAGTGCTTGCGTTCCTTCGCGACACCGATTGCATTTCCTTACAAGAAATTTCGCGTTCCTTCGCTACGAGTTGAACGTTCTTCGCAATAGTTTGTGAATTATCTCGAGGGCTTTGCGTTTCTTCGAGAGATGTGACGTTGGTGGACAGCCTTGGATCTTTTGGACGGCTCTTGACGAGCGACAGGAACTGAGTTGCAGACAGTTGAACTGTTCCTAGTGTGTTTGTTTTTTCCCCTCCACAAGACGTGTGGTACGGCACTGACGACGTACGTCTGATGACGTCATTTGTTCAAAATTGAACGCCTCTTTAAAGGGAACGGACCTTAAAGATACAGTTCCCTTTAAAGAGGCACAAATCAAGAGAACTAAGGAGGTGGAGCCTCATTTAAATATATAAAATGATCACATCTGACTACTGTATATGAAAACAAATCATGGCTTCTGGTATGAACACGTTATCTCCAGAGGTTTGTTTTCTTTTTTCTTCCAGGTGTGCTGAACTTACCGGCAGTGGCCGTGGGAATCTTTTTGGGGGGTCTTATCATGAGGAGGTACAAGCTGAGTGTGGTCTCAGGAGCTCAGCTGTCTTTGGCCACCTCCTTCATGGGCTACCTCCTCTTACTGCTGCTGTTTGGCACCAAGTGTGACAGTTTACCTGTGGCTGGGCTCACCGTGTCGTACAACGGGTCAGCGCTGAGACAAACCACAAAGCTTTTACACCCAGTGGCAACTTTGTTTTTTTAAATCTGAATAATTTGCCCCCTGCAGGTCGAAGAGTGTGTCGTACTACAGAGAAACGCTCTTCTCTGAATGTAACAGCGACTGCTCATGTTCGGCCGAGGACTGGGACCCTGTTTGTGCAGCCAGTGGCATCACTTACATCTCCCCGTGCATGGCCGGCTGCCTCTCATCCAGCGGCCACGGCAAGAACATAGTAGGGTAGCACACAAACATGCACACTTTACCCGTAGTGTTTTTTAAGTAGTTCTGCAGAATAACCACTCGAGAGGAACAAATGGTGCACCCTGTTTCAATTCCAGGGTTTTATATATCAGGACATGTTTAAAAATCCCAATTTGTTATCGTTAATTAATTGTTGACTCTAGAAGCGTTTGGTCTATAAAGGAGACCGCAGCGTTCTCTCACCACCATGATGGACAGTTGTCACCAGGTGTTTGTGCTGGTTTGGTTTTCTGCAGACGTGGAGCTGTGAATTATGGGTAAAAGCCTCTACTTTGGTCTCATCTGTCCAAAAGACATTGTTCCAGAAGTCTTGTGCTTCATTCAGATGAAACTGTATTTAGCATTGCACTGCCTGACCTTGGGGTGAATTTCATGGAATGTCCACTACTGGGAAAATTTTCTTCCTCTATGATGGACTCCAAATACTTTGAAAATGACCTTTGAACCTTCTCAGACTGATGGGCAGCAGCTGTTGTTTCTCTAAGGTCATTGCTGATGTATTTCCATCTTGGTGATGTGTTAACACACTCCTGTACTCTCCAGAGCGTCAAAAACTCCTGCTTTTCTCAAGGTCGTCTTACTAATGGCGATCAGTCAATCAACACATTTGATCAGCAGCTCCTGGCTGGTACTGAATATCTGAAATCCTTCTGAGGCAGAAGGGGGGGGTTAAATCCATTTAAGGCTTCATTTTTGTTTCCATTCGAATAATTTCTGAACCGTTGAATTGAAGACGGTGGACTTTGTTTTCCTCGTGGCTGTCGGACATGCATCAGTACGTTGTGCTTTGTTTTTCAGGTCTTTCACAACTGCAGCTGTGTGTCCACATCCTTTCCAGCAGGCAGCAGCATGTCGGTGAGGTTGGGTCAGTGCCCCCACGCCAAAGACTGCAGCAGCAGTTTTACCTCCTACATGGCTGTTTCTGTCCTCAGCTCCTTCATCAACGCTCTGGGAGCTACACCCGGCTACATGGTCATCATAAGGTCAGTGCACCTTTTTCCTGTGAGAAGGAGTGTTGACCACTGATGCTTTTGTATTTCATTCAATGTCATCAGGATATTTGCAATTCCACAGATACAGTAGTTGTGCAAGAAACCCAAAATGAAACACCAACTATTTTATCTGCAGGCAAGAGCACCCTAAATAAAATAATGCATGGTTCTTATGGTGATACATCAATACAATAAAGATCTAGGATTGCTTGATGGAAATCACAATGCCTGCTGCTGTTGATGTAGTTTGAAGCTGTCATTAGATGAGAAGGGTTGGAGTTATGGCTGTTTTGGTCAAACTTTGTAAATGACGTCATGCGTAATCTCTGTTAGCGCTTAGGGAATGTGTTGAGGATGACTTCCAGCTACCACTGCACCACATTTAGCTCAATATCTGTAAATTTGACTGAGTTACATCCATTTTTGTGTTGATTAATGTCATTTAGCTGTGGCAGCCATCTTAACTTTAGCTAATTCCAAAAACTGTTGACAACTCAGTCCAGGCGTGCTCTGGCCACCTGGATGTGATTTCTTAATGGACTGAGGGGGGTTGAAGCCAGTCCACCCTGGACACAGCTTTGTTGCGATAAAGCGAGGTAGTAGCAGAGTCAAAACAGTCAACATGTGAACAGGTAAGCTGGCTTTGCGGCTCAATTGTGTGATGATCCTGTCTGTATGACCAAACGGTCACGGGATTAAACAACAAATTTATTACAGATCAATGATTACACAACTTCGTATTTCTGCTCGTTCATTTTTGAAAACATACGTGGACTGCTCCGTCTGTGATTTATGAATGTCCAAAGGCATATAAAGACAAACTGGTCTGTCATTTCGCAAAAGTGTTTTATGAAAGAGCCTATTAGAAGTCTTTCAGGTATTCGTGGGATATTTTGCTAACATTATAGACACATGAACATGTAGGAGTTGTAGTTTTTGTCCTTGGTGTCTAGCCCCATCTGGTGTTATGTTCATGTCTTGCTTTCTCCCTATCCTCTGTTTCTGTCTTTATAGGTTTTGTGTTTTCCTAGTGTCTAGCTCCATCTGGTGTTGTGTCTCTGTCCCTTGTGTCTGATTTGTTCTATTTTCCACACCTGTGTAAACTCACAGGTGTTGCGTGCTAGTCCTCAACATTTGTATTTAAGCCTGTGCGTTTCTCTTACCCCTCATCCTGGCATTGTCTTCCATCCACTGGTGATGACCTTTCTGTTCTGTGAGTACCTCCTGATGAGTCCATGTTTGTTTTGCTGCTTTGTCAGCTCTTTGGTTTTCTTAATAAATTCTTTATTTAATATATTTATCCTGAGTCCTCGCCTGCTTGCCTGCACCACTGGGTTCACCAGCACCAACCCATTGTGACAGAACACTATTATCCCTCTACTTTCAGTGTAGTGCTCAAACACATGGGCAAAGACAGGAAACGCTACAAGAAAAACTTAAAGTGGGACATTGAGACCAATTTGGTGTCTGTGTCTGTGCATTTTTTTATTTGTACCAATTTAAACCAAACATTAAACCATTCAGAATTAGAGTTGATCTGATGGCTGACTTTACTGCAGTCTTTTGCGAAAGTGGCAGAAACGGAAAGTATAGGAAAGGTGCCACATTCTTCGGTTATCCAAACATCTTTCAGCTTGGTGCTGCCCGTAATGACTGACGGCTTCCTTACCATGGTAAAAGAAGACGCTTACGTTTGTTGTTTTTTTCTTTGTGTCCTTTTCGTTGAAACACAGATGCATTTCACCAGACCTGAAGTCTCTGGCTCTGGGTATTCAGGGTCTGGGAACCAGGACTCTTGGTAAGCTTTGCAGCTTTACATAAAAACTCTTTTGGAAATTTTGTTTAACTGGTTTCAGATGTCATCTTTGGACAGTTTTAGTGGCATCAGAGGTGAAAGGTGTCTTCATTTGGTTTTTGCACCTCATGTTTAGGAGGAATTCCTGCCCCGGTGTATTTCGGAGCGCTGATTGACTCAACTTGCCTGAAATGGTCGATGAAAAAGTGCGGGGGGAGGGGTGCGTGTCGTATTTATGACTCCGATATGTTCAGGTGAGCAGTTAACTATCCGAACAAATCCAACTCTTCCTAAACTTCGATTGTTTATCTGACCTTTGTCTTTCTGTCCTTTTGGTTTGCAGAGTCATTTTCTTGGGTCTGATCACTTGTCTCAGTGGTTCCTCTTATTTCTTCCTCATCGCTGTCATCATCCTCCTCAGGCGACAGTTTAGGAGGACAGAACTGGAAATAGAAATGCAGCAAACAAAAGCTTCAAAAGGAATTGAACAGAAGGTTCCATCGAGCATTGTAGAAGAGAAAGGTGCTTGTTCTAGATGTCCCGGTCTACTTCCTGGAACAAAGGTCTGTGTAAGTACTGTGACGGGCTCAGAGGAGGCGGTCAGAGCTGATGGACTCAGTTCTACAAATATGGCTCCAGAATCTCAACGCCTGACAGAAACCACAGCTAAGGTGACTCCCCAGTCTCCAGATGAGATAAACTCATAACAAATTGATTTAACCATTGGAAAAAAGCAAGGTTTGTGTCAACAAACAAGCAAGAACTTATAAAAAGAAAAATATTAAAAGTTCAGTCTCAAACTTTATAATGTAGAATCAAACAAGGTGCTGCAGTTGTTACATTTCAGCAAAATTGTTCCTTTTTTTTTTAACATGGATGCTTTGCATGCACAGTGCTAACAGTGTTTGATATGGGCCATATGGCCCACCACCCATGACGGTGTCTTTAAGGAGTAACCGTAGAGTTAAATAAGACAACTAGAGGCCACGTTGGTCACGTGATGGGATTGACTGGAGGGACGGGATCCATAACCAGAGAGAGCAAGTGTCTAGACTTAGCATTGTTGTAGGTATTGGTAAAATAGCCAACACTAAGGGCTGATTATGTAATAAATTATTAATGATGATGTCCTAATGCATGCTCAATAATCCAGGTAAATACATCAGATGCTCTGGATCAGGGGTGTCAAACTCTGCTGGTCATAGCCAGTTTCAGTTGATGCATCAATTCAATTCAAATCAAAAATACTTTATTAATCCCAAAAGGAAATTACTTGCTGTTGTAGCTCATCCTGGTTTCATTAGAGTTGTTATAGATGCTGATAGCTGTGGGCAAGAAGAATCTCTTGTAGCAGTCCGTCCCACAGTGGATCCGAAGAAACTGGCTGCAGATGCCGATCCGTCCACCTAGACCCAGCAGGCCTCTCAGCCCTCTTGGGCAGCAGGACTGCCTGAATGCCGGGCAGAACTCCTCTCTGAGCGATGGCCATTCCTCCCAGCGCCTGCCAAGTCCCACGTCGTCATGGACAAAACTGCAGGTGCCAGGGGACGATCTCAGTCCTCCCGCTGTCACGAGCTGCGTTTCCTACTACTTCCAAGATCTTGGCGGTCAGGCACTCGAGCACCGCCTGCAGGTTGACGGGAATGTGTCCATGGCACCTCCTTTTCAACTCATTTGGGATTTGGGGCTGTAGTTGAGGTAGTATTTGAGCTTTTGATATGTTAATCAGCAGCTCCCAGTTATAGAAAACCACCTTGTTGTCATGGTTGTGCATCATAACAAATGTCCAAAAGTAGAAGAGGTTTCAGTAAAAATCCTTCCAGCTGCACAGCATCTGATACCAGAGGAAACAATCATCCGAAATAAGTGAATTACACCCAGAAAAAAGAGTAATTAAAATTTTAAAAGCAAAATCTCAGAATGAAAATAATCAGATTCCCGACGTCTTCTCTTGGCTGCTGGTTCATCAACAGAAGTTCATTATTTACGGTCTTGTTTTCTGTTGCTCCTTCGACATCAAACTCAAAGATGACTGAAAAATAATAAAATACAACCTTCTTTCTGGCTTCAGTTAGCCAACTGTCTTTAATTTATTTTTAGTGTCTGAGAAATTTGCACTAAATGACGCATGTTCAGTTTTTTAAGCAAAACGAGAAGCTATAATATTTTGGGGCCAGAAGGTCTAATTCAACCTTGTTAGTATTTATAATAATTTTAATATATTAGAATGTATATAAGCTATCTAATGTATATAAAAAATATAAAAATGTCACAAAGCTGTTTGCGCTACGGTTGTACCAACTGAAGAGAAAAAGATAAAACGTGCCTTATTTCACACATCAGCAGATTTGATCTTTACCTCAATGTGAATGTGATCCTTCCATAATTAAAGCTAATACTCTTTAAAATTAAAACCAGCCTATAAAGCCGATACAATAACTGTTAATTATTGAATTGGCTCGTAGATGTTAGCTTCTGTGGCAGATATTATACACTATTCTGATTCTTGCTACAATTTAGCATAAATTATTAAATAGTACAACCTGGATTTATGTAATATTTACACAATGTAATATTATATATATATATATGGCTATTTTAGGTTTCCTTTACACAAACCTAACCTATAGAGAAGATGTTTAGCCAATATCACTAGAGACAAGTTTCAACTTTCTATGAACTTTGTGAACATTTTCTAAGTGTCGACTACAGAACAGCCAGCTGTTCTACATGATTGTTTAATGAAATTAAGATTAATTATCAATTCTGCTAATTTATTGTAAAAACATTATCAATCATTTGTGACACAGATCCAGTTGGGCTTGTTGTTAATCAAATAGTTGCTTCGTTGCCCTCTTTGGACGCCATCTTTGTTCCTCCGTGATGTCACAGATGCAAGCAGTGCGCTCTCTTGTTTGATTAAACTCCATGGCGGTAACACAAAATAAACACAAGTGTTCAGCTACTTGCTCCCTGTATGAGTTTTCTTGTGTCCAGTTAATCTGGGGAGTGAATGCTCCTTTGTGTGACTAGGTGGGCGTCAGAGCCTCACCTGTCAAAGCAAGTCAGAGTTGCTTTTTTAATTTTGTCAACTATTTTTGTATTTAGGTAGCATTTTGCTACTTTTAGCTTTGAGCCAGCTTTAGCTACATTTAGCTTTTAGTTATTGTTTTATTAAATTTAGCTAGCATTTAGCTTTTTTTTTAGTTTTTAGCTAGTTTGTTTAGTTCTTTTAAATTTACCAACTCAGTTTCAGCTTCTTTAACAACTTCAAGTATCAGTGTTTGAGCAGAAAATTAAGTTTATCGTAAAAAAAAGTTGTGTCCTTCAGACATGTCTGAGGTTCAGCTCTTTCAAATCAGTACTTGAACACAAGCTCAGCATCTTAAATGGTAAAATAAAGTTACTTTTTTTTAAGGATAGTTTAGTTGTATGTAGTAATTGCTCATTTACATAACCCCAGTCTAGTTTTAGCTGTTTTGTTCTAATTTGTCAACATTTACTCTCTTTTAAAGATGGAAAACTTGTCAAAGTAAAGTAAGAAAGACCAAAAAACCTCTTTACAAAGTACCTCCTGTTCCGTCTCTTTTACTGCAGGCTGCTCATCCAAGATAAACCTGAGACTGCGAGCGCTGAAAGTCAACTACAATCATGGATCTGTGAAAAACAAGTACACATTTTTAAAGCTGTAAGCAGCAAAGATAGAAGCCAGGGTTGTGCACCACTTTAGGGTTTGTAAATAAAGAAGGGAATGACCTTCAAGTTTGTTTTATTGCATTATTAAGAAAAGTGCAACTAAAAGTAGCCTTGCAAGCCGGGGAACATTCATACACCCTCTTAAGAAAACATTCTCTCCAGTTTAAGTGCAGGTCTGTAGATGCATTAAACTGCAGACATGAGATTATCTCAATCTGTATTTCAGGCAACACACCTTCAGATCTTCTTGCACTGGTGTGCTAATCATTTCCTGTGACCTTTGATCTCCTTTATATTCAGTGTTGCTGGAGTAATCGGCCACGCTGAGCATACATGTTTCAACTTATGAAGGCAGATCCATCTGGTGAATGTTGATGGGAGTAAAGTTGCTTCAGAGTACGAACTAAGAATGCAATAATTGCATGGAGTTTCATTGGGATTTATTTAATCAAAATCTGCCTGCTTAGAAGGTTCTTAGAAGAATAACCTTCAGGTCAAAATTACATTTTTCCAAGTTAGACTGACTTTCCTGAGGAGATGCTTTTCCCTCCATTTTCAACGGCTTATCAAGTTCAGGTCACAGAGAGAGAGCAGGTCAAACTAAGGTACACCTCTTGTAGGAGCCATTTATCTTGTTTTTCTGTGTTTATCTCCACTAGAGGGTGTATTTAATTTTGTCTTCTGAATATTTCAGCAGAAGAAGGTGGTTACTTTTAAGGGCAGGTGTGATTCTGTTCAGGTGTTGCTAATGAGAAGGGGCAAACAGTTTTCTACTGTGCTTAGTTTAGAGTCGAGGCAGATTTATTTGTTTTCTAAATTGAATGGACGTTGTGAGGAAAATAAATGATTTTATGATTTATAAGTCGAAATGAAGATCTGCATAGTGAATCTTGATTGAGCGCACGTAAAACCAAAGCCTACCAGGAACAACAGCAACCAGTAGCCTAAAATATAGGATTTTAGCCGCTACACCTCTACTCAGCTGTACTTTCCAGCTCCTCCTGGGACATCTTAAGGTTTACATGATCCCTCCTGTGAGTTCCAGGTCAGCCCTGAGGAGAATGTGCCTCAGAAAAATCCCATGCAGACACATCCAGACTTAAAATAAATCTAAAAGGAGTACAGGTAAGTTTAACAAGTAACCGATTCAGAATAAGCTTTATAATCATTGTACCGAGATACAGTGAGATTATATTTGTACAGTCGTCCAAAAGATGGGCAAAGTGCACGTTGCTGCTGCTCCTGAGAGCGCAGCCCCTTATCCTTTTTCAGAATACTTTAGATTGAAAAGGGGAAGAGGCCATGAGGATAGGATAGTGGTATGCATTTGACGACGACTGTGAGATTTGTCCATGAGGCACGTTCATATAGTCCATAGTCCTGAAGATGTTGGTGTCAGCCGGTACAGCTCTGATAAGCGTTCACATAAGTTCTTGGGGGGTGGGGGTGCGATAGACAGAGATTTTCCTTAGTTTACACATATCCCAGGAGAAATTTGATGCCGGCCTGCTTCGAGGCTAAACGGGGGAGTCGGATTCCGATAAGCCACAATTGTTGATTTTTTCTGGTAGACTGTTTTTTTCTTGTCAGCCTTGAGTCCTGCTGGCACTTTAGATCCAAAATGGCCAGATTTGTGAGCGTTCCACTGGTCCATGCTTATGAGCCCCCTCCAAGGTCGTCCCCAACATTCTGGCGAGTCCCACAAATCACTTCCATCTTACGGTTCAGCTCATAAATCGGCTGATTTTGAGTACTCGAAGCACTAACCAAACCTTCACACAGACTGTGTAGTTTTGCCATGGCCAAAGCTGCTGCCACTGTCTTTTTTAATAGCCGATAACATAGGTATCCGCCGATGCCAAAAAGCAGAAATCCTGCTATCATGATTCCATTTATATAAACAAATTCAACGTCCTCCTGAGGCAATACGGAAAGGCACATCAGCTCCCAAACTCCCCACGGATCCATGACATATCTTGCTGCGTGTGTCTCAGTGGGACATGAGGGCTCT